GATTCGAACCCGCTACCTTAGGTGTATGTGGCTGGCGCCTTAGCCACTTGAGCCACAGGCGCTGAGCCCTCAACCTGGTCTTAAACTTGTGAGCTCAGGCAGTCCACCCACCTTGGCCTTCCAGAGTGCTAGCATTACAGGCATGAGTCATCAGATCTTGATCCTTGTATTTCTCTTTTTGTGATTGGCTTATTTATTTAGCATAATGTCATTAAGCTTCATCCATATTTTTTTTTTGCTGTTGTTCTTTAGCAGGCCTGGACTGAGTTCGAACCCATCAGCCCTGGAGCATGTGGCCAGTGCCCTAACCACTGACCTATGGGTACCTCCAGATCCATATGAATTTTTGGATTTTGTTTTATTTCTACAAAAAATGCTCCTGGGATTTTCATAAGAATTGCATTGAATCTATTGCATTAGTCTGGGTAGTATGGACATTTTAATGTAATTAAGTCTTCTAATCCATGAATGTGGAATGTCTTTCCATTTATTTGTATATTCTTCAATTCTTCGGGCAGTATTTTGTAGCATAGTATACAAGTTTTTCCTCTCCTTGGTTAAATTTATTACTATTTTATTCTATCATAAATAAGGTTGTTTCCTCAATTTCCTTTGTAGATTGTTCATTGATAGTGTATGTGGCTAATTTTTGTTATGTTGATTTTGTATCCTGCAATTTTGTTGAATTCATTACTAGTTCTAACAGGCTTTTTGTGGAATTTTTAGGGGTTTCTACATATTAGATTATTTCATCTGTGAACAGAAATCATTTTATTTTTTCCTTTCCAATTTGAAAGTCTTTTATTTCTTTTTCTTACCTAATTGGTCTGGTTAGGATTTCTAGTACTGTCTTGAATAGAAGTGGTAAAAGTTGGGCATCCTTGTCTTGTTTCTGAACTTAGAGGAAAAGTGTCAGTTTTTCACCATGGAGTAAGATGTTAACTGTGGGATTTTCATATAGGGCCATTATTATATTAAGGCAATTTCCATCTATTACTGGTTTATGGTTTTTATTGTGAATGGGTGTTGAATTTTGTCAAATGCTTTTTCAGCATCAATTGAAATGATCATGGGATTTCTGTCTTTCCTTTTGTTAGTATGGTGTATTATATTGATTTTGTATTTGAATCATCCTTGCATTCCAGAAATAAATCCCCCTTGGTCATGGTGAATAATCCTTTTAGTGTGCTGTTGAATTCAATTTGCTATTACTTTCTTGAGAATATTGGCATTTTTTTCTTGTATCTTTGACTAGTTTTGGTGTCAGGGTAATGCTACCCTCATAAAATGAGTTTGCAAGTATTTCCTCCTCTTTCATTTTTAGGAAGAGTTTGAGAAAACTAGTGTTAATTCTTTTTCCTCCTCCCCTTCCTCCTCTTCCTTTTCTTCCTCTTATTCCTCCTTCCTCTTCCTCTTTATTTTTTGGAGACAGAGTTTTATTGTTGCTCAAGCTAGAGTGCTGTGGTGTCAGCCTAGCTCACAGCAACTTCAAATTCCTAGGTTCAAACAATTCTCCTGCCTCAGCCTCCTGAGTAGCTGGGACTATAGGCACCTGCCACACACCCAGCTAACTTTTCTATTTTTAGTAGAGATCAGATCTTGCTCTTGCACAAGCTGGTCTCGAATTTCTGAGCTCAAGCAATTCACCCACCTTGGCCTCCCAGAGTGCTAGGATTAAAGGCATGAGTCACCACACCTGGCCTTTTTCTAGTTCCTTGAAGTATAAATTAGGTTGTTCATTTGAGATCTTTATTTTATTTGTATTTATTATTATTTTTTTTTTTTTCAGTTTTTGGCCAGGGCTGGGTTTGAACCCGCCACCTCCAGTATCTGGGGCCGGCACCCTACTCCTTGAGCCACAAGCACCACCCAGATCTTTATTTTATTTTAAAGGAGGTATTTACCCCTATAAACTTTGCTGTTAGTACTGCTTTTGCTGCAGCCCATAAATTTTGGTATGTTTTATTTTCATTTTCATCTGTCCCAAGATACATATATTTTTTAAATTTCAGATTAGAGAGTACATGTTTTGTTTGCATACTTCATTTGTTTTTTTTCGCAAATTGAGTAAAGATTATAAGCCTGCCCCCTCCCAGATAGTGTGCACCATACCAAATAGGGTGAATTTACCCATCTCTTCTTCCCCCTTCTCCCAGACTGATTTCATTGAGATTTACTTCTGTACGTGCACCTGAGTGTTAATCAGATCCAATCTGGTATTGAATACATGTGTTTGGTCCTCCATTACTGTGATGCTTCACTCAGAATAAAGTTCTCCAGCTCCATCCAGGATGTCACAAAAGATACCAGATTGCTATTTTATGGCTGAATAGTACTCTATAGTATACATATTTATTAATCTACGGATATAGATTAAGTATTGATGGGCACTTGGGTTGTTTCCATAACTTTGCAATTGTGAATTATGCTGCTATAAACATTTTGGGGCAGGTATCCTTTTTATAAAATGACTTTTTTTTCTTTGGGATTACTGGGTCAAAAGGTAGATCTACTTTAAGTTCTTAGAGGTAGACCTCAAAGTTCTATGATTTTCCTTAGAGGTTGTACTAGTTTGCTGTCCTATCAACAGTGTACGAGAGTTCCTTTCTCTCTGCATCCATGCCAGCATCTGTTTTAGGACTTATTAATATGAGCCATTCTTGTTGGAGTTAGGTGATATCTCATTGTGGTTTTGATTTGCATTGCCCTAATGATTAGAGATGGTGAGCATTTTTTCTTGAGTTTGTTGGCCATTAGCCTATCTTCATTTGGGAAGTTTCTGTTCATGTCTTTGCCTATACATATCTATATTTTTATTGAATGGCAACTATGTACATTAATGCAATTCTGGGGTACAGTGTGGTGTTTTCACATACAATTCTTTGCCTATTTTTAATGTAGTTGTTTGGTTGTTTTTACTGATTTGCTTGGGTTCTTTGTAGATTCTGGTTATCAGTCCTTTATCAGATGTATGGCATGCAAATATTTTCTCCCATTCTGTGAGTTGTTTATTTGCTCTTTTGATTGTGTCTTTTGCTTTCTTTGGTGAGGCCAATATCAAGAGTTTTTGCAGCATTTTCTTCTAGGATTTTTAAAAATTAATTAATTTATTTATTTTTGCAGTTTGTGGCCGTGGCTGGGTTTGAACCCATCATCTCTGGCATATGGGGCTGGCGCCCTACTCCTTTGAGCCACAGGTGCCACCCTCTTCTAGGATTCTTAACAGTTTCTTGCCTTAAGATTAAGTCTTTTATTCATCATGATTTAATTTTTGAGTTGTGAGAGGTGTGGATCCTGTTCTCCCAGCACAATTTATTGAACAGGGATTCTTTTCTCCAGTGTATATTTTTATCTATTCTGCCAAAAATCAGTTGAGGAAGTTGGGTTTTGTTCAAAAATTTCTGAGTGAGTTTACTTTGGTGGTAGAGCATTGTGCTGGGCATTGTGGAGGATGGGTCTCCACAATGGAGAAACAAACAGGTTGACCTTTCTGTAGCAGAAAAGAACTGAAGGGTGGGGGCGGAGCGCCACAGCTGAGATTTAAACCTAATACCGTGGTTTCTTAGGATAGGGTAGAGGTTGGCTGATATCTTAACAGAGCTAGCTTGCACTATCTCACCAAGTAGGTCCTCAGAGTCTCCAGCCAAAACTCTGAAAGGGGCCTTTGTAAGGATGTAGGGGATAAGCCACAATTACAAAACCTAGTGCTTTGGTAAGGGACCGATTGTCTCTATTACCTGGGAGCCCCAGTTCAATCTCACCATACCAGTTCTATTCTGGCAACATGAATAAGCAGAGTAGATCAGAGTATAACTGAAGAGGCCATGCATAGACAAATGGCTGAAATATCAGAAAACTAATTCAGAATATGGATAGCAAATAAGAGAATAGAATGG